ATGTATATGTATATGTATATATGTTTGCATCTGGCAGTCCCTGGTCGACGACTCAACTTCGGCGGCCAGTCTTTCCGCCCCGACTTCGGTGCCTACAGTGCCTACACCCAAGGCGAAGCGGGCTGCTAAGGCAAAGGCACTTCCACAGGATCCCGAGTTCTTGTTGTTTTGGAATGGAGTTTAGGTTTTTTTTTGAGGTGGTATGTTTCTTACTATATAGTCCAACTCATATAGTAAGTCACAATTAATATACCGTACCTAAACCTAAACCTGAATATAGAGGCTCATAAATATAGAGTGTCTACTCGGGTTTGATGGTAATTTAGGCTGCCCTCGTATCTCATATCTGATCTCGCCCATCCCTAAAAATCTACGACCATATTTCCCCTGGCACCCTACCAACGGGCTCCGAGCATCAACCATATACAGTCGTACATGTCCTGAAGTAACGTGAGCTGTTCAAAAGACTTATTGCGGTACCCTGATGATTGTTGTCTGTATGCTCTCGACCCTAAATTTCGTACAAGTACAAATATAGGACCCCTCGGACCTCTACGCGCTGCCCGTGATCTCGGAGGCGGAACAAACCAAATACAAGTCGTTTTGGAACCGCTTCCGATCGACGAGTTCGATTTCGCTTGACAGCTACGGGGATGAGAGCACGCACGGGGATGGACAACCCACAACACCAACACCAACGACACCGACCCCAACAACCGCAGCAGCACCACCACCAGCAACACCGACCCCAACGGCAACACCAACAACAGCACCGGTCGCACCAATCCCCCCTGCAGGAACACAGGCCCCAGCCTTGCCGACACCACCCGCACCAACCCCGACCCCAGCACCAACACCGACACCGCCCCCACCAACAACACCGGTTCCGCCACCAGCACCCACCGTGTGCCCGCCAACACCGACCTCCTCAACGCCTGTACCATCTCCAACATCAGTGTCCAGTGCTGCCTGCAATAAACTCGGTGTGTGTGCTTTGTGCCAGCTGTTCTACCAACCCCATGAAGTGAGGCAGCTAGGTGAACGTTGCAAGGCTTGCAGAAGCCCTCTCACACTCATCCCGGGCTCTGATTCGCAGCAATCCCCTTCCGTGACACCGTCACCCGCAGAAGTGTCAGCATCAGCATCCCCTTCCGTGGCACCGTCACCCGTAGAAGTGCCAGCATCCCCTTCCGTGGCACCGTCACCCACAGAAGTGCCAGCACCCCCTTCCGTGGCACCGTCACCCACAGGAGTGCCAGCATCCCCTTCCGTGGCACCGTCACCCACAGGAGTGCCACCCCATTCTGCTGCGACACCAGCACCAGCTACCCCTGTGGCACCGTCACGCACCGAAGAGCCGAAGACTGCTCAGGCACTAAGTCCCGCAGACTCGTTTCCGGCTACCCAGGCAGACACCTCGCATGCCGCTCCTTCCCCAACCCCGCAACCAGCCACCTCGAACCAAGGTGTGGTCGCAGCATCCGTGGTACCAGGCTCCACTGCACCGGTGGTCGCCAAGGGTCCACCTGCGGTGCCGACACGCATGCCGCCGCCGCCAGTCCCCGAGAAGCCTGCCAACAACTCAAGCCAGGAAACCCTGACGACTATGCTGGCGACTTTCCTAACCCAAGTTGTTTCCCAAGGTGGCGGGACGGATCCTGCCAAATTGGCAGAGATTACACAGTCGATGTCAAGCATCGTGGCACAGGCCAACACCCAACATGTTGCCGAACCTGCCGGCACGAACGCCGCGACTCCCACCCCGAGCAAGCAAGGAGGCCAGATCATCGAGAACCCGCCTGTGCCCCCGAAGGCAGGCCCGGCGATAGCAGCACCAGCAGCAACAGCACCCCCACCTCCAAGCCCGGTAGCAGCATCAGCACCCCCGTCCACAAGCCTGGCACCAGCAGTGGCAGCACCAGCAGCAGCAATCCCAGCGGACAGGGTAAACTCCTCTAGTCATCCCACGGAATGGAGGGGGTTCAAACGATTTTGCGAAGAGAACAAGGGGGCCGATGAACTCAAGAAGGCATGGAACGCGGGTGGTCCGAAACGGATGGCTGCATTCCAGAAGTATGTCGCGACGGGCTGCGACTAGGGCGAGTATTCAATTATTACGTAAACTTATAGTCGTTTGGTCCTATCTATATGTACTTGTCGTAGACAGAAGCCTCCTCCATGAAGAAGACCCGGACACCCTCAAACCCCAAATGCAAGCCTGCCCTCCCATCGCTCCTCAGCCACAAAGGTAACCCTCTCGCTCTGGAGTGCGCCATGCGCTTCAGGCGCCAGCGCGAAGAGACGGATCAGGACGAAGGCCGGGAATCCGCTTGTGGTTCGGGGCTTTATTTGGTTGCGCTAGGTTTGAATACTTGCTAGTACCGAAACATCTACAAAGGCTGGGCGCCGGGGACGTTCACTATAAGGTTGGGAGCAAACCTCCAAACTCGCATTGTATGGGTTTTGATACACTCACCTAAACCCTAAACCCTAAACAGAACCCTACACCCTGACCCCAAACCCTGAACCCTAGAACCAGTCAGGTCCTAGGCTTATATTGTCGTGGGATCTAATCCTTACACCCTAAACCCTATAAACCATCGTATTGCACTTCGAGAGTTGATTTGGTAATGTGACTCGATCGAGCAGCTCATCTTTACAAGTACCTAGCTTTTTGTTTTGTTGTCTCACACACACCTCCTGCCACTCCGTGGTAAGGTTCGTCACCTAACCAATCCTAGAAAGACCCAGCTGCCTTAAAACCCGGAATCGTAACCCTAAACCCTTCAAGCCCTAAGCCCCTAAACCCCAAACCCCCAAAGCCGATCCCCCCAAACCTAAACCGACGACAGGCAAATACTATCCATGGAAGGATACTGTCGCTTTCCATGATGGTGATGCCACCAAAGCGCTAGAGTTCATATCCCGCCGGCGATTGGAACCAAAAGGGACCGCTGAAGATCAGGGGTTCTTAATTCATGTGGACTGTTCAACTGCTACTTGTACCTGTCTTTGGGAAGCCAAAACAAAGCATCGTGTCAAGTTTTCTTGCAGGACCTCGTCCTGCCGCAACAATCCTGGAACGGAGACCTTCCTGTATTATGGCCTGCAGACGAGAACGCTCACACAGCGGACCCTCGTGACTAAGCTGACATGAGTCCGCCCTTCCATCCAAACCATTAATCAAAACTTCCAACCTAAGGACGAGATTGCCGTGGACATGGGATGCAGCCCCTCGTATGCGGCGTCGGTGTGCTCCATGCTGGACGGGGAAACTGCGATGCCAAGCGGCATCATCAACGAGGATCCGAACCCAAAGCCACCGCCGCCCAAGCCAGAGAATAAGAAAAACCGCAATGGTGGGAATGGTGGGCAGAATGAGGGGGCGAACGCCACGACCAACACAACCGAAAATTTGCCAAACAAGAAAGCCCGACCCGCGAAGCCCCAGGTCACGTGGTTTATACAAAACACACTTTGTAAATGTGCTTGCGAGGACAAACCATATAGAAAATTTCGTCTAGTGTACGTTTGTCTTCCATGATCGCAAATGCACGCAGGGATCAGACCTTGAGCTGCACGTGTGTGGTGACGACACGGGAGCCTTCGTGAAGAACTGGGTCGCTGCAGCCAACAATGCCCAGGGACAGGCGACAAGAGTCTGTGGTGAGCTACCTGTCTGCATGGGCTCAGAACTGCGCAGGGTGTCTATTGTGATTTTTTACTGAGCCATTATGCTCAGGTTGGAAATCTTGGAGAGCCAGGGTGAGCTCATCAAGCTGATTAATGATGCCTCGGTGGGAATCGGACAAAGCCGGAAGGCAATGAACAACCTTGGCTCATCGCCCGTTGCGGCGGATGTGCACATGGTGTTGCAATCGGTTTCTCGGTGTCAAGATTACTGCTTCTAGTGTGGGTGGGTGGGAGGGCGAGTGCGTGGATGGGTGGGTGGGTGGGCCAGCGGGTGGGTGGGTGAGTGTTTCGGGTGGTTGGTGGGTGGGTGTGGGTGGGTGGGCACTTTTCGTTTGATCTGAGGCGTTTCTTTTGTTTTTGTTTTGTGGTCTCAGGCTGCTGTCTACGTGGAGGCCTTCAAGAAGCACATCCGGGTGGCAAATGGGCTGTATCTTGGTGGAGTATATAACTAGACTCTCGAGCTTCCATCAATGGTTGTGTGTTGCGATCAAGAAGTCTCTTCCTCTATCTGCCTTTCGAGGATCCAGAACGAGCAACGCCCGGCTACTAAGAAGGCCAAAGCGGCCGCAAAAGCGGCACAGCAGTAGGCAGGGCGGCTGTGGCCATAGGTTCAGAGACGGATGTGTTTTTGTTAATGCAGGTGTCTGATTAAGTTAGACTTCATAAATCCTGAGCGGTGTTGCTCATCCGTCGGTGGCCTTGCTGAGAAGTCTGTATAGTTTTCCAGAAGCTGGAGGGAAGTGAGTCTACACTCACCTGCCACGCAAATGTGATCGAATGTAGGCCTGGGGATCAGCACATTTGCATAGGTCGCATGTGGAGACGCGCCGTGGGACACATCGCACGCAGTAGCCCGAACCCTGCACCGACAACCCGACACGATGCCCTGTACGATAGTATGCGTGCAGCTGAACCTTATCGGTGTTGTCATGTGGTGTGCGCATTCCACGACTCGAGTGTCATTCGAGTGCTTCGATGAAAAGAGCTTTAACCTTTACAACCAGGCGATTTTTCGAGCTTCTTGTGTGCAGCCCAATGTACACTTGCACCCGTGTGTTGCTCAGGTATCAAGAATTGTGCAATGCCCCAATACAATGAGCACTATCCCCTGTAACACCACTATTGACCCCAAACCCTAAACCCTCAGCCCTTAGCCGCAAAAGACCCAATAGATCGACACGACCCTAGCAGCAGGTGTTAGCCGACCTCCATGCACACACTTTTCGGTCATAGAATGTAAATGCATTCGAGCAAAGACAAACCTAACTATAAGTGTGATGTTTCGGTCAATTAACCATATGGGGCCTCTTCGTTGGCTGTGCGATGCTGAAGAGGGCACGGAATCTAGCCAAGAGCCTGGGAAAGGTGTCTGGCGATGGGGAGGGGAGGTCTGAAAAAAGACTATCCCCAGCAGATTTTTCCTTGAGTGGTAGTGAGTTATCGCGAGTGATCTCGTGGCACATTGGAAGAGGGGCAAGCTGTGGTCTGCTACAAACAGTGGCAGACGCAGTGGTCAAAGAATCTGGGGCCGCTCATGTTTCGCGCAGTGGCTTGGCTTCTCGAGTCTCGTTAATTTGGGTGCGTGGATGTTTGTCAGTCATATTAAAACCTGCCTGCTCAAATAAGGCACGCGGTGGGCTGCGAAGCTGGGAGCTTCTGGAAAACGACCCGACCATATAGAGGAACGCCTTTCTAAAGCTTTGTCTGTGAGTGATGTGGCTTGTCCAAAACAGGTGTTGTGCTGATATCCGAAAGTGTATAACGACCACAAGTATGGTATGTCTGAGGCACCAATTTCATGTCCACTGACTGGTGTGCCGGTGTTGATGAAAGACACACGCCCTGAAGCTCGTCGAGACAAGCAAAGAAATCGCACTTGTCGATTTCGCCTTCGACGCTGTGCAACGATGAAAAAGAAACGAAGGCCGCAAAAGAAGCACAAAGGTGCAGTGTCTTGCCCCCCAGCTTGGACGACCCTACCTGTCCTGATGCCCTACCAACTTTTCAAGACCATGGTGCAATCGGGGCTCGTCAGTCACTGGTTGCTTTGATGCATAAAGCCAAATGTGTCATGTTTTGATGTTGTCCATTTTGGGTTCGCTCTTGTTGGGCTGCCGAGGACTGGAACTATGGATTGGTGCTACTTTTGGAGGTGTGCCAAAAGTGAACCATGGGGAGTGTGCCTTGCCCTACAATACAATCGTATGTTATTGTCGGGTGTGGTTTGTGAATGGTAGAGAAATCTTGTTGTTGCTGGTCCAGGCAGCATCCGGTGCAGAATTGGCCCGAGCACGCCCAACGCAAAGCGATCGGGGTGTCCCTGCACGGGGACGAAGGAACTGGGAAACGATCGAAGTCTGTCCTTGTGCTGTCTATATCACCGCTGGCGATACATAGAGGAGATAGCTGCTATGAAAAGTTTCCGTTTTGTGCACCTTAACTGCTTGCTGGGATTGGTTCATCTTGTGATTGTGAAAAAATTGCATTTGTTTATGTTGTACCTGATTTGTTTCGAGGTTGTCAAATCTGACAGATTTGCATACAGTGAGAATGGAAAGAACTTGACGCTGGAGTGTTTGCAGAAACACTTCGTGGAGTCCATGAATGCTTGTGGGCAGATGAACGACCCGGCTCTTCATGGATATACAATTCATCTTTGTGTATCCAAGGGTGACTGGAAGCACAAGAAAGAGTGGTTGCAACAAAGCCGCCACTATAGCAATGTGCCCGGGCAAATATGTCCGAGATGCCTGTGCAACAGTCCGGACAAACCTTGGGCCGACCTTTCCGAGCGGTTCAACAACGAGGAAGACTTAGCTGAGGCCGCAAAGACGGGCGCTTTGATTTCATCATAAAACAGCATTGTATCAAATAAACGATGATGAGTTCCACCCCGCCCCCACTATACACCCTCCCCCCCTCCCCCGCACCCAAGGTGCTGGCTTGGATATACCCTTGCGGCAATTTCGAGGCTGGGATGTTTCCACCGAATATGCAGACCTACTTCATGCCCTTTGGCTTGGCACCGGCCGAGACGCAGTTGCCTCGCATTTGTTGTTGTAGCGCAGCATGCTCCGGATCTTGACATGTACACTACGTGGGATGAGAGACTGCGCCACATACACGCTGACTTCAGAGTATGGTGCCATGCAAACAAGATCCGTGCATCAGTCATCGATGAAATGAGTCTGTGGACTGCATGGAAATTCAGTTTGAATTTGTATAGTGTCACTTCTATCTGGCGTTTCAGGGTTGTGTCAGACGTCCATACAAATCTTAGGCTTGGGAAAGCTTTCGGTCGATGCCGTGAGTTTCGACTATCCACTTGGATATGGGAAGGGGTACGCGAACCGTGTGCTGAACCTTGGTACGTGCGGCTCCAAAGTTTTCTAAACCCGTTATAGAATAGTAAAACCAAAAGCTATGCATAAAACCCAAACCCTAAACCCACAAACCAATGTTGTTAATTGTGTTTCCTGCAATACGGAACCCCGCGCCGAGGATGTCGTACCTAGCACAACGCCTGGGTGAGGCTGGGTCGCATGGTCTTTGTGATTTGCTCGGTTTACCAGGGTTTAGGGTCTAGGTCAGGTTTGTAGGGTGTGGGTTTATTGGAGCGAGTCTGAGGAAGTTTCTGAAACAGTGCAAGAAGTCCGGGTTGCAGCTGTCAATGCTTGGGCGATCACTTCTTTCAACTGCCGACTTGACGAGTGTGGTGTTTTTCTGTCGGACAGCGAAGCGACTAAGTGGCCGAGACCCTAGACTTCGATATTTGTAAAAGTTTGGTTTCAGCTATGTCATATGTTGTGTCGCATAGAGGTTTAAGGGAGGTTCAAAACAGAAATCGTGGCTCCTATTTGCTTTGAGGCTTGGGCGAACGTACTGCCACACTTACCTGGTTCTAGCTGCCTTGTTCCTCGAAAAAGCTGAGCCCCGGAACCCAAGACTTTTCAGAACAGCTGTTATTGTTTGCTTACATCCATGGTGCATACACAGAACAACCAAACACTTTGCGATGCATCTCGCCAAGGTATAAACTCCGGCCGAAGTATCACCAGTTCCACTGTGAAATAGTTTTACGACTCGCGGCAGGCAGCAGAGTCAACCCCAGGGTTGCAAGCTGCTATATGGAGGAGGATTTTATCGGGAAGCTGATGACAACATGCAAACGTTCAGTTCATCCCTGCACGCTGTCCAGTCGGGTAATCCAGAGATGGTTGCTCCAGCTGAACTGCTGGGTCGTCGCGACGAGCTGAAAACGAATCTCTCACCACAGCTGTTTTTTCAAGATGGGTTTACAAAGGTCCACAGTTTTTGTATCTGCAGCCTCACGGTTCTATAGGGTTTGTGGTTTCTCTAAATCAACAGGTTTCAAGAAAGGCTTGTCGGCAAAAGCCGTGATCCTGACGAAGTGTCTGCTATCCTCGTCCTACACATCCACGACCTTTATCTTAATATAGGCCTATGTAGATCGAACCCCGAAGCTTTGTTCAAGTCTCTTACTTGAACCCAAACCCAAACAGAGCGCCTCAAGGCAGTGAGTTCACGCAAAATACCGTCTTGCCTACATAACCTTACAACCATGATTGAGCCCGATCTCTTGATCCCGGTTTAGGGTTTAGGGTTTTTAAATTTAGGGTCTTCAGGATTTTAGGATGTCGGCTTATGCTGCTTTAGGCTCGGGGTTGTTTAGGGTTTCAGGTTGGCCCGTTATCATTGAACTGTTTCATGTAGAGCGGTTGGTTAGGATAAGCTCGCGGCTGCTTACGGTTGTTCAGGGTTGTTTATTAGGGTTTGGGTTTAGGGTAAAAAGGTTGATAAGGACCGGTCAGGTATGAGCATGGTTGTTATTTGTTATGGGGTTTAAAGGCTTAAGGTTGTTCACGGTTGCTTGGAGTTGTCTCGGGCTGTTGAAATTAGGGTTGGTTCGGTGCTTAGGTGTAGGTTTCTGCTTCGTTGTTTATGGGATTTGGAAATCACACCAGTCCCCCGTGCTATATAGATTTTTCACTCGGGTTTATTAGGGACGAGAGGT